TTGTCATAATTTCTTGTGCGCTGAAAGATAACTAGTACAGTTGTTATCAATACATCTCTTCTTAAAATATTTCTCATGTGCCTTTTACATTGTATTTCCTTATTTTTGGCTGTGCTGGATCTCCACTGCTGTGCAGGCTTCTCTTTAGCTGTGGAGAGCAAGGGCTACTGTCTGATTGAGGTGGCGGTGGCTTCTCTCGCTCCCTTGTTGTGGAGCACAAGCTTGATAGTTGCAGTGCCCAGACTTAGTTGTTCCACCACATGTGGGATCTTCCCGGATCAGGGACTGAACCCCTGTCTTCGGCATTGGCAGCTGGATTCTTTACCACTGAGCCACCAGGGAACCTCTCTAGTGTGCCTTTTTAATTTTTTAAAATTTTATATCGGCATATAATTGATTTACAATATTGTGTTAGTTTCAGTGATCCAGGTATATATACATCTATTTTTTTCGGATTCTTTTCAGATTCTTTTCCCATTTAAGTTATTGCAGAATATTGAGTAGAGTTCTTGTATTTGTACTGTCTTTGTTGATTATCTATTTTATATACAGTAGTGTGTATATTTTTTAATCTCAGCCTCCTAACTTATCCCTCCTCCCCACCTTTCCTCTTTGGTAACCATAAGTTTGTTTTCTAAATCTGTAGGTCTGTTCCTGTTTTGTAAATAAGTATATTTGTATCACTTTTTTTTAGATTCCACATATAAATGATATTATATGATATCTGTTTTTCTTTGTCTGACTTAGTATGATGACCTCTATGTCCATTCATGTTGTTGCAAATGGCATTATTCCATCCTTCTTTGTGGCTGAATAATATTTCATAGTATATATGTACCACATCTTCTTTATCCATTCCTCTGTCAATGGGCATTTAGGTTGACTCCATGTCTTGGCTATTGTATATAATGTTGCTGTGAACATTGAGGTACATGTATCTTTTCAAATTATGGCTTTCTTCAGATATATGCCCAGGAGAGGGATTGCTGGATCATATGGTAGTCCTATTTTTCATTTTTTAAGGAACCTCCATACTGTTCTTCACAGTGCATGCACCAATTTACATTTCCACCAACAAAACAGAAGGGTTCTCTTTTCCATACCCTCTCCAGCATTTATTGTTTGAAGACTTTTTGATGATGGTCATCCTGACCAGTGTGAAGTGATACTCACTGTAGTTCTGAGTTGCACTTCTCAATTAGTGATGTTGAGCACCTTTTCATGTGCTTTGTGGCCATCTGAGAAACATCTATTTAGATCTTCTGCTCATTTTTAAATTTTTTTTCTGTTCAGCTGTATGAGCTGTTTGTATGTTTTGTAGATTAAGCCCTTATAAGTCACACCATTTGCAAATATTTTCTCCTATTCTGTGGGTTGTCTTCTTTCGAATATGGTTTCCATTGCTATGCAAAAGCTTTTAAGTTTAATTAGGTCTCATTTTTAATTCTTGTTTTTATTTTCATTACTCTCAGGATACAGATCCAGGAAGATGTGCTGTGCTTTACGTCAAGGAGTGTTGTGCCTCTAAGAGTTTTATATGACCTTAGATTTAGGTCTTTAATCCATTTTGAGTTTATTTCTGTGTATGGTGTTGTATTCTAATTTCATTCTTTTATTGTGTAGGTGTCCAGTTTTCCCAGCTCTTAAAGAGACTGTCTTTTCTACATTGTATATTCTTGCCTCCTTTTTCATGTATTAATTGACCATAGGTGTGTGGCTTTATTTCTGGTCTTTCTGCCCTGTTCCATTGGTCTGTATTTCTGTTCTTGTGCTAGTATCATACTGTTTTGATTTCTGTAGCTTTATAATATAGTCTGAAGTCAGGGAGCCTGATTATTCCAGCTCTTATTTTTCTTTGTCAAGATTGCTTTGGCTATTTAGGGTCTTTTGTATTTCCATATAAATTTTAAGATTTTTGTGTTCTAATTATATGAAAAATGTCATTGGTAATTTGATAGGGATTGCATTGAATCTGTAGATTGTCAGATTCAATAATCATTTTGAAAATGTTGATTCTTCCAGTCCAAGAACATCGTATATTTTTCCAATCTGTTTGTGTCATCTTCAATTTCTGTCATCAACATCTTATAGTTTTCTAAGTACAGATCTTTTGCCTCCTTAGGTAGATTTATTTCTGGGTATTTTATTCTTTTTCATGTGATGGTAAATGGCATCGTTTCCTTAATTTCTCTTTTTGATTTTTCATTGTTAGTGTATAGAAATGCAACAGACTTTGATGTATTAATTTTGTATCCTGTAACTTTATTGAATTCACTGATGAGCTTTAGTGGTTTTCTGGTAGCACCTTTAGGATTTTCTTTGTATAATATCATGTCATCTGCAAACAGTTCTACTTCTTGTTTTCCACTTTGGATTCCTTTTATTTCTTTTTTTCCCTCTGGTCACCATTTCTAGGACTTCTAAAATTATGTTGAATAAAAGTGGTCAGAGTGGGCACCCATCTCTCATTGCTGGTGTTAGAGGAAATGCTTTCAGCTATTCACCCTTGAGAATATTAACTGTGGGCTTATCATACAAGACGTTTATTAGGTTGAGATACGTTCTCTCCGTGCCCACTTTCTGAAGAACTTTGTCATAAGTGGATGTTGAATTGTGTCAAAAGCTTTTTCTACATCTATTAAGAGAGTCACATGGTTTAAATCTTTAATTTGTTAACGTGGTCTATCATACCAATTAACTTGTGAATATGAAAGAACTCTCCCATCTGTTCAATAAATCCCACTTGATTGGGTGTATAACCCTTTTTAATGTACTGTTAAATTTATTTTGCTAGTATTTTGTTGACTATTTTTGAATCTATATTCATTAATAATATTGGTTTGCAATTTTCTTTTTTTGTGATATTTTTCTTTGGTTTTGGTATCAGGGTGATGGTGGCCTCATAGAGTGAGTTTGGGAATGATCCTTCCTCTGTAATTTAAAAAAGTAGTTTCAGAATGATAGATGTTACCTCTTTTCTAAATATTTCATAGAATTCACCTGGGGAGCCATCTAGTCTGGACTTTTGTATGTTGGAATTATTTATTTATTAACTTTTATTATTGGAGTATAATTGCTTTGCAATGTTGTGTTGATTTCTTCTGTACAACAAAGTCAGTGTATACAGAGATCCCTTCCCTCTGGATCCTCCCTCCCACCCCACCCCATCCCATAGCTCTAGGTCATCATCAGCGCTGAGCTGAGCTCCCTGTATTATAAAGCAACTTCCCACTAGCTATCTAATTTACACATGGTAGCATTTACATGTCAATGCTACTCCATTGGGAGTTTTAAAATCACAACTTCAATGTCAATACTTGTGATTGTCATTCATATTTGCTCTTTCTTCCTGGTTCAGTCTTGGAAGGCTGTACCTTTCTATGAATTTGTCCATTTCTTCCAAGTTGTCCATTTTATTGGCATAGACTTGATTGTAATAGTCTCTTATGATTCTTTGTATTTCTGTGGTGTCAATTATAACTTCTTTTTCATTTCTAATTTTAATTATTTGAGCTCCCTCTTAATGGGTCTGGGTAAAGTTTTATCAATTTTCCTAATTTTTCAAAGATCCAAATCTTAGTTTCATTGGCCTTTTCTATTTTTCATTTATTTCTTCTCTCATCTTTATGATTTCTTTCCTTCTACTAACTTTGGGTTTTGCTTGTTCTTTCTCTAGTTGCTTTATATGTAACATTAGTTTGTTCATTTGAGATTTTTGTTGTTTCTTGAGGTAAGATTGTATTGCTATAAACTTCTTTCTTAGAACTGCTTTTGCTGTGTCCCATAGGTTTTGGATTATCATAATTTTTGTTTTAATTTGTCTTGAAGTATTTTTTGATTTACTCTTTGATTTATTCAGTGATTCATTGGTTGTTTAGTAGCACAAACTAATATATTTTCTATCATTGTATTTCTTCTTAAAAAATCTCTAAGTGTGCCTTTAACTTTGTCTTTCATCCAATATTTGCTTTTGTCCTCCAGCTTTTAGTCTACTAATCACTTAAATTGTTTACACTAATTATATATATTGTATATATCTTTATATATAATAAAATTATTAATCATATAGTGTATACTATACTTTATTATACTACATATTAACTAATATATAAATTATATGTTATATATTTATATATACTTATACATATATATACCTATATCAGGTAGAAAAGCATCAGCTTGTTATTATAGGATATTTTAAATATATGCAAAAGTCGAGTGAAAAGCATAATGGAGCTCATGTATCCATCACCCAACTTCAACAGTCATGATCATTACTGACAAAACACAGCAATACTGACATAACAACCTATAGTCACCATTGTTTCATATCTACCTCTGCCTATGCCTCTCCTCCGGATTATTTTGAAACGACCCCAAGATGCATCATTTCTTCTGTAATATTTTCAGCATATATAGCTCTTTAGGAAAACATTTTAAGTGTACAAATTAACCACAGAAATAATATCAAGGAGTGTTTTGATGATGAAGATTAGGGCTTCAGAGCAGAGGCTAGTGTAAACATACTTGGAAATATTCTTCTTTAAGTTGATGATATAGATAAACTATTCTAGAGAAGAAGTGAACAGGAATTTGGTGATTAAGGATTAGCAAGCTGAAGAGAAAGAGAAATAGTTGAAGAAGAGAGAGGAACCCAATAATATGACAGTAGACTGCAGCCAAAGTCAAGTTGACCAGTAAAAATTAACTCAAAAAGAATAATTGAGTTTAAGAACAAGACTATCACTGAAAGTTAGCCTGTCAAATATGCTGCATATTTTATATAACTCTTCTTTAGCACTCCAAGTCTTTCAGGGAAATCTGCTAGACACATAGCCTATATTCAAAGGAATTATGCTAGTAGAGAGATTCAGATGGTATAAAACAGTGCAGAAAATGGCCTAACAGTGAGTGAAAGGCTGAGAAGAGATTGAGAATTCAATAGAACAAGAACTAGAAAGCAGAAGTCATCAGGGAAGATGTAAAGCAATATCCCTTACCAACAAAACCCCAGCAACAACAAAAAGATCAAATCAATGTAGTTACTGAAAAATATTCTAGGTTTGCAACAATATATGAAAAGAGGAATCAGTGAACTTTTTACTTAAATATTAAAAGAAAAGTGACTCCAGAATTCTAGAATATATCTGATTACTCCAAGAAGCTGTTGTCTTGGTTACATACACGGGCACAAAATCTCACATACAGATAGACCTCTTATTGATGGAATCACAAATAATGCTACTGCTGATGCCTTTTATCACATCTATGAGTTCATGATGGGTTTTATAAAAGAAAAGAGGAGAGGATCAATTTTGCCCCTGGTTATACTGTGTCAGTGAACTTACAGATATGATAGTGTCTAAATAGCAGTGACCCAGTTGAGTACATCTGCAGAATACAGATATGGCTACTGTTCCAGAAACTGCTCGTGGAGGTTGTTAAAAATACAATACTACAACAAGAATATCATACTTAGTTGATGTTGGAAAAGATAGCTTTTAAGTCCTAGTCTGTGAATCACAGAAGTTTTCAGTTAAAAACAAAGTAGTATATTTTTACCAGTTGTAAAATTCCTGTGACCAGTCCAATCCAATTTACTATGTCTCAAAATTAAGACAGAAATGTCGGTCCCTTTGTTTTATACAATCAAGGTAACAGAGGATATTGTGAATTTTATATAAGAATTCCTTATCCTGGTCTTATAAAACTAGTTGTTTTGGTAATAACACCCATGATTCATAACTTTACTTCAACCCATAAAACTGAATTTTCATCTCTGTCACCTAACTCACTGTACTGGAGGACTATTTTATTTTTCTTTAGATTTTACTGTTGAACTCAGAGGTATAATATTACAGAGCAATTTTCTCTCTATTGCCCATAGCAATGATAAACCAAAAATGTGTACAGGTAAGACTAAAGTATGGTGTCAATCAAAAAACAGTCAATTTTGCTGAATAAAGAGTTCTCTTTTAATAAGAATATCTCCCTGATGTAGGTGTTGACCTGCCCCTGATTTCTGAAAAGAGGATATTTTTGTCGGATTTAGTCAGGGGCAGCCAATACCTCATTTCTTTCTCATACCCTCTGATTTTATGGGTTAGGTGTAAAATGCAGATTTAAAAATTACAGATTGTCATCTCCCAGCAACCTATCATGCTTCTGAGTTTATCAGACACATTTTAAGACTGGTGGAAGACAAATATTGCTTAGAAGTAAACCTATGTATATTTACCTACATACACATGCATAGTGCCACAAGCATGGATGTATGATGTATGAATGTGAATGTGTAACAGAGAGAGGGAGTGGAGGGAGAAGATGAAGAAGATGGAGAGAGAGGAATGAGGAGAAGAAACCATTGCACAATGTTTATTCCTCTTCCCGAGCTTCCACTTATCTTTTTTTAAAACAGATTTTATTTTTCTTAGAGCAGTTTTAGGTACACAGAAAAACTGAGCAAATGCTAAAACTTGAAACAACCAAGATGTTCTATAGTTGGTAAGTGGATAAATAAATGGTGGTATATCCAGATAGTGGAATATTATTTCAAGTGCTAAATAGCTTCCATTTATTTTCACCTTGATCTTCTTGACAAGTATAGCCTTCTAGCTCCTCATCCAGCTTCTTCCTATCATTTAAGATCCTTTGTGACTCCTTCCTAGCCCATCAGTCCTCTGAATTCCCCTTCTTCTTGCCTATCTAGTGTACAATTTTATACACCATTTGATTTAATATTTAACTACATCCTTTTAGTGCTCTCTGAATGTTCTGTGCATCAGTTTTGTCTTCCCAACTAGATTATAGCTAATTCAAGGGCAAGAACTCTTTATTATAATTATGCATGACCATGTCTTCCATTGCTATGCTGTATCATAGATACTAAGTAAATGAGCATTGATATAATGAAAAGACAGAATCTCCAATTAGCTTGTGATTTTGATTAAGAAATTGTAATTGGTTCTTAAATTGCAGCCTAAATTTTTAGAATGTTTCTATGAATTCCAGATATCCATTTCCTCCATTTGAAATATAATAGGGGTTAAAGCCACACTGTCTTTGAATCCTGCTCTCCAATTTATTTATTGTGTGATCTTGAGCAAGTAACATAAATGTCCTCTGCCTAGCCTTACTCTATAAAATAGAGATAACGGCATCTATCTCACAGATTCTTGGGATAATCACATGAATTAATTCAGAGTCATCATATAGAATACCTGGTACATAGATAGCACTCTATATATGCTGACTACTTTGCTATGGCTGAATAAAAATAATTTCTTATATTTTCAAATTAGCAACTTGCACAAAAATTTGGCTATTATTCATTTGAAAAAAAAAAAAACCAATACCATTTTTAGGCCCAGTTTTTTGAAGATCAATAATCTATTTAAGAAGATAAGGGAAGGCAGGATCTTGAATTAAATCACAGGTTTATGCCAAACACAAGGCAAGAATAATCAAGGTTAACCTGTACCAGAAGTCTAAAATGTAATGTCTTTCTCCTGTCTTAGATACATTTTAGATCTCTGACCAAAGAGTGTGTGTGTGTGCATACACACTCAGTCATATCCAACTCTTTGTGAACCCATGGACTGCAGCTTGCCATCTTCCTCTGTCCATTGGATTCTCCCGGTAACAAGACTGGAAAAGAGTGCCACTTCTTCCTCCAGGCAATCTTCCCAACCCAGGGATCCAACTTGCATCTCTTATGTCTCCTGAATTGGCAGCAGATTCTTTAAAGAGACTTTAGACCAAATTAGTACAGCAAATTGACTTCAGGATCAATCCTCATATAACTTGGTGTTTGGGGGGCAATGTGACAAATAGCCAAAGAAAATTTATTTTTAAACTGACATAAGCAGTGTTTCTTGGGGGAAGGATAAAAAGTATATGTATGTACATGAAATAAACTTATGAATCTGCTATTTTCCATGTCCCATATACATCTGTCTACCTCTTGAAACTTCATTAAAAAGATGGGTGTCTAGAATAAGTGATAAATGAATTCCTTAGCCATATCGTCATCTAATAATACTCTTAGCACAGCATAATCCCTAAAATTGATATCATAAGTCTTTTGTGAAAACTAAATAAGGTAATGTTTGTAAAGCTCTTAGCACAGTATTTGGTGCGGAAGAGGAAACAAGTAATATGTGTTACCTTCTATTATTTTGGGCTTCCGGGTGGCTCAGCTGATAAAGAATCCACCTGCAATGCAGGAGACCTGGGTTCGATCCCTGGGATGGGAAGACCTCCTGCAGAAAGGAAAGGCTACCCACTCCAGTATTCTGGCCTGGAGAATTCCATGGACTGTAGAGTCCATGGGGTCTCTTCTATTATTTTGGGCTTCCGGGTGGCTCAGCTGATAAAGAATCCACCTGCAATGCGGGAGACCTGGGTTCGATCCCTGGTTTGGGAAGACCCCCTGCAGAAAGGAAAGGCTACCCACTCCAGTATTCTGGCCTGGAGAATTCCATGGACTGTAGAGTCCATGGGGTCGCAAAGAGTCGGACACAACTAAGCGGCTTTCACTTTTTTCTATTATTTTATTATTACAGTTAAACAATGGAAACTCAGAAAGACAGTTTTTCTAAGGTCAGTGAAAAGAAGAATGAATCGCAAACTTAAAACACACATTTCTCACCACAACTTTCTCATTGTGCTTCCATTTCCCTCCAGGCCAGTGTGTCTGCTGAATCCTAACAGACTGCAGTGTGTGCGCCCCTCTCTCTGGCTTTCCCAGACCTGATCTCCTCCCAGGCTTCTGGCTGTGACCCTTTTTCATGGACCAAATTGCCTTCACTCTCCTACCCTTCAATTGCACCATTTCTCAAGGCTCTTTCCTCTCCCTGCCCTTGATAACCACGTTGAATATCACCATCCCATTTGTCTCCCTCTTAGAACCAGTTCCTGAGTCTGTATCTCATTTCTGAGTTCCGTCTTTCATGCTGAATTTTAACCCTGCCTTTCCAATTGCCCACTCTGTATTTTCCTGTAGTTGTTTATTGAAACCTTTAAGTCACAGTGATAAGCTCACTACTTGTTCATCCTCTTTATCCATTTCTTTTCCCAACCACATGCATCTTCTAACATTTCCAGGTTTAATAAAAGAACCACGCTTCATCTTCCATTAGATTCATATCCTAAGCTTCTCTCTCCTTTCTTCTTCCATGAGCTAATTCACGTATGATTTGTCATTTGGAGCTGCACTGAACAATATGGTAGCCACTAATCACATGTGACTAGTTTGAACTGAGATGAAATTTAAGTGCAAAGTGCACATTATATTTTGAACACTTAGTACAGTAAACAGAAGTGTAAAATATTTCATTAATACTTTTTTTACATTGATTACATGTTGAAATGACACTATTTTGGATATATTGTGCAAAATGAAATGCTATCATTGAAATTAATTTCTCCTATTTTTATTTTGATGTGGCCACCAGAAAATTTAAATATGTGAATTACTTTATATTTCTATTGGACAGCATTTTTCTAGATCATTCTCATATTCCTCCTTAATATTTCTTGAATCTCTTCCATTTCAGTCTTAATATTACCATTTAGTTCCAGCTTCTTACAATGTATCCTGCCCGGTTTCTCTGCCTGTACAGTCTCCCTCCTCCAGTGTTCCTTATCCATGTTGTCTTCTGTCTCCAAATCATTCTTCGTAGCAAATGATTCAGATCAAACCATTTTCTACTCAAAAAAAAAAAAAAAATCCTTCTCTCTGTTCATCAGATGAAGTCTAAACTGTTATAGCTGCCCACCCCCCAGCTTTTTGCTTCTTTGCATTTTAGCTGTGATGCCTTGGAACAGCAATGATAGCATAAAAAGATGGAGCTCTGTTTAGCTGGAAGAATCTCACTCTGTTTGTTGAGGAGGGGCTGGGGGAGGGATCATGTGGTATTTCTGTAGGGGCTGTTTACTAACTTGAACAAGCCTGGCTCAGAAAAAGTTACCCTTGCAAGCATTTTACAAGCCAAAATAATACATCTTCTTTCATGAGTCCCCAAAGCAAGCAATCTATTAACCAAACCCAACAATTTGTATAGAAACAAGATAGAAGGAGGAGTTCCAGATGCCA